CTAGATGTGACCGGCATATTTAAACAACTGCCCAAACTCCACAATGACCAGTCCTGTTTTTGAAGGAGGCGAGAGACTTGAGCAGACACGTGTGGGCTCCAGAAGCACACACGATCCTCGAGATGACTGTCACCGTCGCTGGTGTCCTTCAAGCTGGTTCCGACATAAAGTGACCCCACGCACTTCAAAGAAACACCGCCGGCCCTGGGCCGTCCTCCTCACGCTGGTTCTGTGTCCATCCGTCTCGTTGAGGGTCTCCCTGTTTTCCGGGACCCTGAACTTTACCAAGCAATGATGTCCTTCCCCAGGGACAGGACTCTCCTGACAAAAGGGTGCTAAGGAGCTTTCCAGAGTGATGGAAACAGTCGTGATCTTGGCTGTGGTAACGTTCCGAGCGTGTACGTGTCTATAAAATGTGCCGCCTATGCATGTGCACAATACCCCGATAAACCTCTTTATAATTATTCATAGAAGAAAGCGACTTCCGGGAGAGGATTCTGCCGGAGCCCTATGCAAAGCACAGCCAGGGGTCCTCTCCCCTGGGGCACAGTGGATTACTCCTTGGGTCTCCAACTGCAAGGTCAGCAGCTGTAAGCCACCAGCCGCTCCTTGGGAGAAAGACAAGGCTGTGAACTCCCGTCTGCCAGTAGCAGCCTGGAAACCCACAGGGGCAGGTCCACCTCACTGGGTCACTTTGTAGTTTGGAACCAACTCAGTGGCAGTGAGGTTTTGGAGTTGTAACTCCTCCTCCAGGAAAGGGGCTTCTTTCTTTTTCGTTGGGTTCTCAACCATTAGCAGGTTTCCATTTCGGAGTCATTTTTTTTAAGCCACATTTGATTACACAGTCCTCGGTTCCCACGAAAGGATGCACGGAACCGTGGGAGGGAGGGAGTCCCAAAGTGGACACCCATGATCCCACCATGCCACCCGCCAGCTCCTCCGAGGGGCTCCATCTTGAACCTGGGCTTCTCCTTCCCTCGGCTCCTCAGTAGTCTGATCGCCGTGCCACACGCTTCATCAAACGTCATCTTCCATGGTGCGCCGTCGGATGGGTTTGCCTCTGCCATTGGAATTCGGTTCCACGTGCAAGATTCCCCTGTGCTGTTGCCCTTGCTCGACAGCCCTTCAGAGTCTCGAAAGCAGGCACAGGGCTTGTCACTGTGGAGCCTGTTGGGACTCACAGCGAGTGCCAGAGCCGCGCCGCTCTGGAGGGCCCTGGTCGGCAGGCCCTTTCTCCCCCTGGGTTCACACCACCCACTTGTCAGTACTCTTGGTCCTCCTTTGACGGCCTGTTCAGAGCGCCTCTGGGTGACGACTCCTGAGAGCTCCAGGGCTGCTGGGGCTGCCGTCCTTCCCACAGCAGGTGGCCAGGTCATTACTCCCATCCAGCTACCAGCGGTGGACTCAACTTAAAGATCTTTCGGTTCGCAGCCGAGTGCCCAACCTCCCCCTCCAGCCCCCGTCCCCCTGCCAAGAATCCAAACCCACTGCCCTGGAGTCGTGGCGACGGCTGCACTTGCCGTCCACATCACCGGGGCTCTCTAAGAAGGACAGGAATGAAGCATAGCCAGATGGGGAGCGGGCCTTGGTCAGGGCCAACTCCTCACCACATTCCATCCCCAGGAGAGCCCTGAGGCGTGCCTACTGAGCTCTGGTGGTGCCGAGGGAGGGGCGTGTGCTGGGCCCCTCCTCAAAGGAAGGATGAAGCTGTCTGGCATAGCCTCGGAAGACCCCACAGCAGGCCGATCCTGCCTCCCAGGTCCCTAAGAGCTGGAATCAGCTTCCCAGCAGTGGGAGTGACTCGGCTCTGGTGGCTCGTGGGGTGAAGCGCTCAGTTCCAAACCAAAGGGTCAGCCATCAGAGCCCACCTACCCATCTGCAGGAGGAAGAGGTGGCGGGTTGGCAGGAGTGGATTGCCCTCATCAGCAAGGTCAGGCACGGGTTGACGCGTGCTTTGTCGAAAAATAGGAAATGGTTCTCTGCAGAGTAGTAAGCAAGCACAGGTCAGCCCAGCTACTGGGCAACCCGACACTGATCTGCTTCCCTAAGTATTAAGGCAGAACACCAAGTGAATTGCCACCCAGTGACCCTACAGGACCAAGTAGACCTGCCCTTGTGGGTTTCCAAGACAGTAAATCTTCACAAGAGAAAGCCTCATCTCTCTTCCCCGGAGCGGCCGGCGGGTTTGAACTACTGCCTTTGCAGTTAGCACCTCCATATGTAATGCACTGGGCCGCCAGGCCTCCTGGGACCCCCACAGGGCAGGTCCACGGCGTCTAGAGAGTCACTGTGAATTGGAATCTAGATAACAATGGGTTTCGTGTTTTTTGGGGGGTGGGCAGCACACAGTGGCTAAAGAAGTCAGCGGTTCGACACCCCCCCCCCCAGCCACTTTGGGGAAGATGTGGCCATTTGTGTCCATAAAGAGCGTCGTCTCAGAAGCCCGCCAAGGGCCCCCTCTGTCCTGTAGGGTCACTAGTCATCAGAATCCCCAGAGAGCAGCAGGCAGTTGTCCCAGGTCGTGGTGACCAGGTGCTCGCCAGCAGAGCACAGAGCTATGCCCCCTTGCCCTCACACCAGGAGGGCTGTGTTCTGCCACCACCACCCCCATCTGCACCCCACTGGAACCAGGGCCGCTGAGCTGACTCATCTCGGGACACACAGAACCACACCCACCCCCCAGGACAGCTTGACAGCAGCCATCAGACACAGGCAGCATGTGATGACCCGGCAGTGACCGGGCTGTGTCCCACAGACACTGCCTGGGAACAGCGATTGCAGCCTAAGGTTCTAACAGAGAACCAAACAACTTCTTTCTCCATCGGTGGACATCTCCCAAAACCAAACGCCCGGCCACGGAGGAGGTTCGACTCAGCGGCACTGCAACAGGTGGGGCTGCCCCGTGGCTTTCTGAGACCGTAACTCGTTCATGGGGGTAGGGAAGAGTCTCAGCTGTGGTTTCGAACTGCTGGCCCTGCTAGAACCCACTGGGCCGCCAGGGCCCCTGACGGGAATCTGATTACAGTCAGCGCCCCTTGGTCCCAGGAAACCCGCCCCATGGGTGACCCTGTAGCTTTGGGGCCAGTGGAAGGTTATGGCAGTTGAGGGCCCTGTCCAGGTCAGCGGTGGAAAAGGCAAGGCCACGACACGGGCTGTTAGCGTGTGGAGGTGGCCGCGCACCTCCTACTTAACCTGCATGGACACAGGAAGGCCTGGGGTCGGCCGGGGTCAGGGGTCAGGGGCGCGGGACCTTCCCATGGTTGGTTTCCCTCCACTGTGCAGCTGAGACACAAAGCCTTCATCCCTCCGTCTCCTTTCAGCATGAGTGGTGCCTACTAAACAGCACGTCCACACAGCACCCTGCGGGCCGGGCTTCTGGGCCCTCCTTTGCGCCTGGCCTGTAGCCCTTGCCTTTCACAGGTCCCCTGGGCACACCCCGCCCTGATGCCCCAGCTGTCCTTTTCAGACCCTGCATCTGCTCTTCCAGAATGGGGGGTGGGGGCGCAGCTGAGGGACAGGGCAACGGGCCCCCAGGTGGTGCTGTCTGTCACCCACTGCTCTGCGGATGCAGGCCAGTCCCTGGGGCACCTGTGCCATCCCCCCACCCCTCGGCTTCATCCTGGAAGCCTGGGGGTTAGGGATTCACTCTGTACATGCCCCGTCCCCATCATACTCCAGCGCTAGGCCCTTCGGACAGGAGGTGGGGCTCTTTCCC